GAGAGAGAGAGAGAGAGAGAGAGAGAGAGAGAGAGAGAGAGAGAGAGAGGAGGAAAGAAAGAAAGAGGGACGGAAAAGCAATAGCAAAAGAAAGGAGAAGATATGGTTTTTCACATACGTACCGCTGATTGGCCAAACAATGGGGCTGCTGACATAACTGCCGCATAGCCACATCCAAGCCACATGTAGAACACTGACAGGTACAACAAAACAGGTCAAAAGACTCAGAACTGGCATAAGCTACGATGTTCAGAAATCTCAAGAGTCAACACCCTTGTGTCCATCAACAGACTTATGAAATGAACTTCTCATCAATGCTCAACCTCGCAAGTATGCAAAGAACATTCACACGAGAGTTCCCACATGGGAAGCCAAAGCCGAGATACAATCAACGCATGAGAAGACCGTCACTGAATTATCAAACGCTATACAAGGAAATTGTTTATGTCACCAGCGGGCTCTGCCGCTCACCCCACACAACATCTCAACATCGGCTATGGCTCTGCTCTCTCTTGCTCTCTCTCACTTAGCCTCGCTTCTCTCTCTATGACTTGGTCCGCTCGGCCTATCTTTCTCTCTCTTCTAACCCTAGATCGCATCCCTGAATACACCCACTCAGGTAAGCTTCCAGCTTCGCGGCTATGACCACCGGAACTCCTACTTCACTACCCTATCTATGGAGTATCCCTCGAGCACCTTCTTCATCCTCCAGGAGCGTTGAGCCCAAGTTGCCTCAACGCACAAGCAGCGTAGCGCTCCCGCATATTGCCATTGAACAAGTGATGCCGCTGCACTGTAGCAGCTAAATATAGAGTTGGACTTGGCTTGGCCTGCTTCAGACCGGTACCGGTCGGTCGAGGCCTGTCTCCTGCAATCATTTTGTCGGACTGTCCTGCGAATATGCTGCAAAAATAGGACTTGGGACTGGACTGGTCTGGACTGGTCTGGACTTTTCTTGTCAGGTACCGGACTGACTTCTATCGACCTCTGACGCTTCGGTACTGACACCTACCGACCTACGGAACCTCAACCCACGGACCGTAGGACCTATCCTTTTTTTTTTTCTTTTTTTTTTTTAAGCCCAGGGTGTTGTAGAGGCCAAGGACTAGACCCACGGTGATCCCTAGGACCTTATCCTAGCGGGACTGGGACCGGGACAATTTGGGACCTTGGAACCGGTATTTGGGATGTCTGCAGTGTGAAATTGTGAATCCTTTTACTTGATTGCGATGAGATCACACTCGATTGGAAACTTGCTGAAAAATTGAAATGGAATCCACACACTTGGGTACTTTGATTAACCCTAAAAATAACGCTACTTCTTCTATGCCAGCAAACTTGCAGAATGGAATTTGTAACTACTGCTGCCCAGCTCGTCACTTGTGATGAGCTGCGTCCCAGCATAGGCCTACCGAGTCTGCCTACAGGAAAATCTACTGGTTCGGAAGAGCCTACTCTAAACTTGGTGAACAAAGATCCTACAAAGAGGTCCTACATTCGAAACTCATAAACTTCAGAGCAGCAGACAAAAAAAAGCAGACAATTATACTTACTTTGTAAGTTTGTACGAGTTTCGAAGTTCGAGGCCTGGCAAGAGCAAAACATCCAACAAAAACTTGGGCCAATTTACGGGGGCAAATATTCAGCTTCCCCAACAGCTCTTCCCCTCAGTTCGAAGCTCTGCGAGAATGTTATCTACATTTATTCAGAAAGGATCTATTGAGTCGGAGCAAATATTAAAGACGGGCATGAACAACTATCTCACACTATTTACAAGTCTGCCATTTGAGACACGGATTGGCTGAACTAGAGATCA